TATAATCCAATAGACCATTAGATAAAGAAATAAGATTTGATTCCATCCAATCTCTTATAGAAATATAAAATTCATCTTAATGGTATTAATCGTCAGAGCTTAGTTTGATTGTTATTGAGATTCTGATACAATTTGATACAATTTGATACAATTTGATACAATTTGATACAATTTGATACAATTTTTTGATACAGTTGAATACAATTGAAATACAGTTGATCGTTGTTATCATAGTCACGAAAATAGAATTCTTTTTTTCGCGATTCTATTTTTATTATTACTTGGCACTTGACTATTTGAATTTAACTATACGTACAGTACAGTACAGTACAGTACCAGGGGTACGTACGTAATTTACGACTGTATCTGGTATCTGTAGTATCTGTGGTATCTGGTATGTACTGTACGTACTGTATACGTATACCTGAACCTAACTACTTTGAAACCTAATTTAATTATTTTTGAACTTAAAACTACTTGAATCTAACTATTACCTGAATTGAATGAATTGAAATACAATACAACAAAACAATAAATATAAATAATAATAAGATATCCCGTGAATTGTCAAGTGTGTCAAGTATGTCAAGTATGTCAAGTATGTCAAGTATGTCAAGTCTAAGCTACGAATTCATTTTCGCGTCAACTTTTATTGAAATGACTTGTCATGATTCAAAACGGGGTAAATAGTATGAAATAGAAAAAAAATAGAAAAAAAAAAATAGAAAAAAAAAAAAAAATAATAAAAAAAAATAATAATAATAATCATAATATTGTTGTAATTTGCTTGCTTGTTTATACTGTTATCTTCTAAGGAAAAAATTTTCAAGTTTTATTACTTTTTTGTTTTTGCTTTTTTGCTTTTTTGCTTTTAATTGTTAAAAAGAATTTTCGAAAGAAATTATCTATACAACCGTGATCCTTGTGAAAAACGAGAATATTTTCTTTTAGTGAAACATTTTGTTCATAATCTCATGACTTAAAATGATTGTGCGTAGTCACTGCGAAATTTAAAATCGAGAGGCTCAATCTGTTATGCCATTAAATTGTTAAATGATTGTTAGTTCAAAAATGTGTTCTGACAATAAGTATTTTCATCAGGTTACTTTTTTTTTAACTATGACAAAATGATGCGTGATGCAGTATTATCGTTATCGTTATCTTTATTATAATCGTATTAAATAAAAAAATTCTTTTAAGAATTTCAATAAAGAATTTTTTAATAAAAGTTCTCGAGAAAAAAAACGCAGTGTGGCCAGGATTTCAATCAAAATACTCATAAGTAAAAATTGTGATTTTTTTTAGTGGCCCGAATTATTTAAGGATAAATTAAAAAATTCAAGCCTGCGGGATGAAACAGTAAACGCCACAAGTCTCACAATATTTATATTAATCTTGTTTATTTAACTATATGATATACTTTATTCAATAATCAACCGACAATTATATACGTATCAGGACTAAATAATCCTGTATTTATGTAAACTGCGCATCTAATTTACGCAAAATGTCATTATATGCTCTCAAATAATATTTTTAATGTTGTTCGCTGCAAATCTGGTTGTTTTTGTAATTCGTATTTTTTATACGCTATGTTTAAAATATGATTACATTATACATTATTAGTATTGAGATTATTGAGATTATTGAGATTATTGAGATTTACAATATTACAATAACTGCAATAATATATTATATATTATTTTATATAATATATCATACGTAATATATTTATTATTATAATATTATTAATTTATTATATGATAATGTACCGGTATTTTTTTTTTATCATTTATTTATTTATTACTTTATTTAAAAAAGTTTTTTTTTATATATATAACAACTCCGTACATATCCTTACATTCAAACAACATTCAAACAACATTCAAAAGAGCGAATATATTAAAAAAAGCTTTTTTTTTTTTTTTATAAATAAAATCTACTTTATTTTACTTGTTTATATAAATAGGGTGAAATCCGCTTTTATAATTTTATACTTTTTATTTTATTGTTTACCATTTTTTTTTTCAAGTGGAACAAGAGAAATTATAAAGATTATTATATTTTAGTATTAAAGTTTTTGGTTTCCCTCTCATGAATTTTTCTTCTATTACCAAGAGATTTCGTTATATAACGAACAACTTTTGATAATTTAAATTTTTTTTGTTTTTTCAAAGATTTTCCAAAATCCATTAATTGTTTTGAATCATAATTATAATCCAATAGACCATTAGATAAAGAAATAAGATTTGATTCCATCCAATCTCTTATAGAAATATAAAATTCATCT